CTATTCTAATACTTCTTTATTCTAGTAATATAAATTATAAAGATTTCTGAAATAGTATTATAAAAAACAAATTTCTTAAAATAACTTATAATTATAGTTTCTATTCGAAAAATACTATTTAGTTTTATAATTATAAAAGTACTAATTATATAGCTAATCCTAAAGATTCTAAATACTTCTTTCTAGTAATAATAAAGCTTTAATAAATAATTATTTTCTAATCTAGTATTATAAAAAAGAATAATATTTCTAATAAAGAAATATTTAAATAGTCTTAAATATAAGTATTATTAAATACTTCTTTTTTATATTTTTAGTAATAATATATTACTAAAAATACTTTTTATTAAATTTTATAAAGATATCTTTAATATTCTTTTTATTATTTCTATTATATTTTATAACTTTATAATTAATTTCCGATTTAAATATTAAAAATAAAGGCTAATTTAATTTAATAAACTTTTAAAACTTTTAAAACTTATAAAACTAAATAATATTTATTTTTTATTTTTAATAAATAATATAATCTTATTATATAAATTATTTAATTCCTTATTTTCTTCTTTTATTTACTTTATAAAAGATTTAAAGATTATATTTAACTATAAGCAAATCTTTTCTTTAATATTAATAAGAAATATAATAAGTTTCTTATTTATATTTTATATATAAATTTCTATTACTTTATTAAAAAGTAAAGCTTATAAATAAGGTATTAATAAATTAAATATAATATATAAAGTCTTTTAATCTTATATTTAACTAAGAAATAAAATATTCTCGGTTATAAAGTCTTTTTTATAATAAATTAAAGAAGTAATAATAAATTTATAATAATAATATTATTAAATATTAAAATAATTTTTTTATATATCTTATTATTATATTATTATTTAATTCTAATTCTAAAGACTAGCTTCTAATAAATAGTTATAATAGAATAAATATAAATATATATATTAAGTTTAAGTTAAAAGTTATTAAGTTAAAAGTTATAATATCCGCGGCTTAATAAATTTAGTTTTCTTAAGATTATAATATTATAAGTATACTTTTAAAAAGTTAAATAAAGTAATAAGTTAAATAAATTAAGAAAAAGATTATATAAACTTATATTATAATTATATCTAATATTAACTATATTAATAAGACGAAAAATCTATTAATAAGCTTAAATTTCGAGGAAAAAACTAATACTAGTTAAAGTAAAGAATCGAGAAATTTAAGAGATTAATAAGTTTTAATTTTCTATATAAGTATAAACCTTATTTTAATATTATATAAAGAATTATTTATAAATATTATAAATATATATCTCGAATATTTCGGTTCTTATAAAGTAAATAAGATTTATATATATAAAACTAAAATATTTATTAAAAGGCTCTTAGAATTTATTTAAAACCTTTTTAATAAATAGCTTATTTTTATAAATAAAGTATTTTATTTTAATAATTTTAAAGTTTCTTATTCGTCTTATAAATAGCTACTATTATTATAACTTAAAGTATATTAGAATTTATTTATTATATTATTATTCTCGTAAATTACTTAAAGTAATACTTTTATATTAATAAAGATATAAGTTTATTTAAATATAATAAGACTCTATTATCTTAATTAAAGACCTTAAGCTCGAAGAGATTCTCGAATTAATACTTTATTTCTATTTAATAGCTTATATTATTAAGTACTAATATTTAAGAGTTATATTTAATTAATTTAAAAGAGTATAATATTAAAGGCAAAGTAAATACTTATTATTTAAAACTTAACTAAGTATAAAAAATACTTATTAGTTATATATATTAATATAATCTTAACTAAATATATATAAAGGAAACTCGTTATTATAATAACTAGAGGAATATTTTATATCTTTAGATAAGGATAATATTAATAGACTACAAGCTATGCGATTCCCGAATATAAGATAACGGTCTATAATATAGTAAGACCGGTATAGATTTTTCTAAAGTCGTCTTAGTTCATGAGCGGCCCCTAGTTCCGTTTAAGTAGATTAATATAAACTATCTCAACTTGGCTTCGAGGAGTTAGGAGCGTCTCAACGCACAGAGAAGAGCTAAAGATACCTCTCGAAGGGAGATCAGCACTTATATTAGCTAGTGGTGTGGACCTTGACTCGTAAAACGGGTTTCTTTCGCATGTAGCTGCACGGCATCCTGCCTTAGCCCGCCATCAGCTTGACGAGGAACATGCATCCAAGATTCCAAGGTAGGGGAACCTAGATAGAAGCACGTAGAGAAAGCAGTCTGATCTCAGCATAAATCCATGTCTACTAATAAGGAGGGAGAATAATATTGGCTGTAGAAAACTTCCGGTCCAGAGGATTTAAGCATGTTTATATAAATGTGCCTATATTAAATATGCTTATATCCAGGCTTAACTCGAGCTGTACCCGAGGGAGGGCGGCACGCGTTTCTCGACGTCGAGGAAGGTGGCAGCTCCACGCGAAGGGCACATGCTGATGACCCCCCTCCCTCGAGATCTAGCTCCGATCTTGCTCTGCATGTGGTGCCTGGTGAGAAGTTCGGTGGCGCCTGTCAGCCAATGTTGCGCTCCGGAGCGACACTCTCCCGTGGTTGCGCCAACGCTTACCCCCTTCTGAAGAAGATCTTCGGCGCAAGCAAACAGCACAACGAGCTAATCTGCCGATCTAGATCTTCCCCGGTAGGTGAAAAGAAACGCTCGTCGGTTCCGATTTGCAGAGTGTTTAGGGAGACGCAGCCACAGGAGCTAACTGCCTACTTTTCTTTGCATTGTTGCACTTATATTACTGTGGCTTGACGGTTGACGGCCGTACTGATCCAGGACCCTGGAGATACCGTAGTACGGTTAATGCATGCATGACTGCGGCGTGATCAGGAGATTACTGGTGAGACGCAGGGGACTAACTGCTGAAGAAGAGGGGTGATTACGCTGCCCCTGGAGTTTGTGGAGGCCGAGGGAGGGTCTGTGGGTGCATCGCGGAATGGCGGGAACATAAAAGTAAATTGGTTCGCTTGAGCGGTTTGCAGACGTTTGCTGTCATCATGTGCGCTTTGATGCCATCGAACCACTGCGAGGACTCAGAACTCCCATGCGCTGTCTTGAAGTCAGGTCGTGCTATTTCATTTTCAGAAGTATCTCTAATTGAATCAAATACTAGCTCTGGCTACTGTTGAGCCAGAATCGCTTCACAGGAGTCGGCTGATCTATTCTCTAGGAGGTATCAAAACATCGTTCGCGGTAGGTACCTCATGCCATGCTTTATATCTTCCCCCGCGAGTCCGACACCTTATTGCCACAAATACAATAACTTTGCCATAGGAAAAGCAAACGTTAGACCTCTCAATAATTACTCCTCACATTTCTCAAATTTTGGATGCTTTGCCCCAGAGATCATCCCATTCACGAAGCTTGTTATTCATATGTCTTGCTCTATCAAGTTGGTTCGCGGTCTGGCCTGCCGCGAGTCTTGCTGCTGGCGGGTCTGTATCTGGTACGTGCTCGAGGTATGTTATCAGAGCCTTTGGTGGTTGCATCGGATCGAATTTTCTTTTATTGTGTTAGTGGATCATTTGTTACGTTCGGATACTTGGTTGCTTACGGGGCATCTTCGCTTAAGGTTGCTGAAGGAGGCAACGGTTCGGACATCTTGCAATCTCCTTGATTCCACGCTGAGTCGAGTAAAGTGTTGGACAAATCTTGTGAAGCGTTGATTGCTCCACAAGATTAGGGCTAAAGATGCAATAAATCGTTTATTTGTACTTTGTCAACCCTCGACATTCCAATCGCTTCAATAGTGCTGTAAACCCAACACGATTACATGAACAGCACTATTGTTGCCAACTTTAGATCTCAAAAGTTACGTTCTAAGCATGCCAATCCCCCGGGAAAGGAGGATGAGCACAATTGTGGTGTTCGGTGATTTATTGGCTGAAGCTGATTGGACCATTGAGAGGTGGCTTGCAAGGTTTCAGGTCAGATCTTGACGAGAGCACAGTTGTGCTCTTCTGTAGATCAACCTCCACGCATCAATCTTTCGCCACGGTTAAAAAGCCAACTTCAAACAAGTAATTCTACACAGGACCTTTTATCTGTTCCGTTAGCATCGAGACATGGACGCGAGATCGCAAAGTCATCCAAAGCCCTTTCTTTATTCGAAGTCGCCGAATCGGATTTCTGGGAAGGGAAAATTTACGTTTGAGGTTGGAGAAGACGGGGAATTCACAATCGCAGAAAGTCACATTACAGAAGACGATAGGGACTGCAAGAGCGAGACGAGCTCTATGGAAGCAAATGCATGCAGCATCCCAGATATCAACTCCATTGAAGTTGATGACCTTGAGGACTGGAACTCCAGCACGGCATTATCCTGGAAGCCTCCACCAGAGCTGCTTGGCCCTGCAGAAAGGTACAAGTTGATTGGTGGTTTGGGGAAGTGGACCGAAGGTTGTGGCTACTCTGAGGTATCTCATATGCCATGGCGCATAGATGCCGTCAGCCTCGAAGATCTTGATGATCTTGATTTTTCCGAGCTCAGTGCTACTCCTGGATCAGCAGAGAACATTAGCAGGATAAAATGGCCAAATCCTCACGCACCAGCTCAAAATTCACAATGGACATTTAGGCTAGGTTCTCGCTCAATCGCAGAATCAGGGACTGAATCACTTCCGGCCCTTACTGAGGACTGTTCAAGAGATTCAGACAGCACCGGGATCTCTGAGTATTTCCTGAATAAAGATGGGCTATCCAGTTCGAACCATATTCCTGAAGCCCACGAAAGGAAAACGCCCCTTTCACCAGAGCTGGGAAGCATTGGTGCTTTCACGAGCGAATTTGACCAGTTTTCAGACCTCCTCGAATCGACCTTTGATACAGACAAAGCATCGAATATCTCAGGGAGGCCAACAGATATCTACGGACTTTTACATCCAGAAAAAGATTTGGAATACTCAGGCTCCGCGGAGTTCGATACTCTCACAGTGAACAGCATGGATTTCGACACCTCACAAAGCGATACCGAGTCAACTTGGATGTCTGACTGCTCCGAGAGAACTCCAGCTTTGGAGATCGACCACCCCTTCATGTTGGTCAAACCTATAGTCGTACGAGAGGGCTTGCTTGCATTTTCAGCCTCACAGCAGCAGCAGCGTCCACAAGGTGGTGCCGCTAGCAGCGTCGGCACCGGAAGCACGTCAACTACAGCTAGTAGAGATTCTGGTCAGAAGGCAAGCAAGAAACGAATTCGTAAAAAGAGAGCAGCAAGTGAAGGATCAAAAGAAAGCGGTGACGACGATGGAGCCCCGGAAAAACGGCGTCGAGCTTCCAAGAGGACCACAGGAAATCAACTTTCGTTTGCTTGTCCATTTGCCAAAAAGGATCCTCTTAAGTATCGAGGTTGTTATTCATATACTCTTAGTCGTGTTCGAGATGTCAAACAGCACCTATCACGATATCATCAGCTTCCCATATACTGTCCTCGTTGTATGGACATTTTCGAAACCGAAGACGAGCGAGACGAGCATAATAAGACTATCCCTTGTCTTGCCCAAAATTTTAGGCATGAAGGAGTTACAAGAGCGCAAAAGGCGCAATTGTCGGAACGGGTCTCTTCGACGATGACGGTAGAAGATCAGTGGTTCACAATCTTCGACATCCTTTTCCCGGGCCATACCCCGAGGCCCAGGTCTCCATACATGAATGCCGAGCTGACCATGGAGCTGGAGGGATACCAAGACTTTATGCTTGTTCAGGGACCAAATATAATCTTGTCTACAATTCAATCAGCTGGCATTCATGTCTCAACACAGTCCAACGAAGAGCGAGACCTGACTGCGTTGTGGCACTCGGCAATTCACGATGGTCTATTACTGATTTCCCAGCGATGGTTTGCATCCTATTTTCCGGATCGGATCACAACACAAACCGTTGCCGCCGACGGATCCTCAAACTCCCATGCCTCCCATGCAGTCGATGACTCCGATTTATCGCGATCATCATCTAACACTCTCTTTGATGGAGCTCATCCGACGGATCCGGCAGCTGAGCAAGTCCCCCTAGCCCCGCGTGAAAACCTCTTTCGAGAGAGTCAAAATTATACAGCCAACCAGACCAACAATCAAGCTTCTGAGGACTGGTTGGACGCTTTCTTCGAGGTTCATAATTATGGAGGAATGGAAGGAGCTCCTGGAGGTGCTCAGCCACCTGACAACGCCGAGGATGGTCTTGAGCAACCGGCAAAAGAGGGTAACCTCTGACAAATATTGAGGGATTACGATGCACATAGGCTCATTTTCATAGCGGCATGACTCGTTGTGCGCTTTGGTCCTATAAAATTGAAGAATCGGTTTCGTTTCCTGGTATCCTCATGACAGTCTTAAACTTCGCAAGTGTGTGGGTGTGTGTAGCCTGGTTGAAATGCACATAAAAATCGTTAGAATTCTCGTAATGAAGCGTATTAATTTACTGCTAGTGTTGGTTTGGGTTGCGGACCTGGTGTTCCGAGGTCAAACCTGAGAAAGTGGAAGGAGTTTTGAAACATGACCGCCCGATGGCTCTCATACACGAAAACTGGGAGAGGCCCGATTGTAACTTCTAAACCAGGTTGCAGGTATAACGAGATATCAAAGTAGTGAGATGTTACAATCAAAGGCCAAACCTTGAGCAGAGAAGTGTTGTAATTGCCTCCCCTCACTTCCTCTAGATGCTGCCCTGAAATCAAACCCATCGCGTTATCGGGCTATAGTCGGTCCGATCCAAAAGCGACAAAAAAAAAAAAAAAACCACTATAATACTAATTAATATAAATCATATTAATTAAAACTATACTATATACTATAGGAATTAATTCTATGTTCTCAAAATTATAATATCTTTATTATTAAGGAAGTTATAATATACGTAATTAAGCGAGTAAATATATTAGCATTTTATATGGTCGTTTTTTTACTTTGGTTATTACGTGACTGCCCCCCTAAGTTAACTACTCTTCTATAATTATATTAATACCTCAATAACCACAAACCCAATTAAGTACTTCTTTTATATACTTCTAATAGCTACCTCTATAAGGCTTCAGAAATACAAGCGAGCTAATTTAACTCTTGACTTAATTATAGTTCTTACTCTAGCTAAAGAAGCTATAATTCAAGTAATTATTAATAAATAATATAGGAAACCCTCTAATATAGAGAATAATTCTAATAATTTAGATACAGCAGAAACTCGATATAACGATATCGATTTTAGCGTCTTTTTCTAATAATACACCAAGGTATCGTTATATCAAGAATCACGTGCATCCACGTAAAGAGAATAAAAATTAAAGATATATAAAGAATCTCTTTAGTAATAGCTCCTCGACGCTTTTTAGGCTGCTAAGGGCCTGTAGAATCAGTGGTAAATACTACAGGCTGTGAAATAGTGAGATCGATGGTCCGCGACTCCGAATTACCGGGATTTGGGGGGGTAGAAGGCCCTATAGAAGAGAGGAATTAATCTATTGGGTTCGATGATTAGAACGATATTACACTAAAATAATAATCTCCGGACCATAAATCCTTACGATAATCGTTATGGGGGGTATATCGTAAGCCTAGGGCCAAAAAACAGTGGGACCTCACGGCTGTATCGCACTATTAAGGATATCGCTAAATCGAGGATCATTATATCAAGGTTCTGCTATATTAAACCAAGTAATAAAGTAGAGCTTAAAGATTTAATACTCTTTTAGGTTTAGCAAAAGCTTTTTATTAGTAGTAATAAAATAATTATTTTAGAGAAGCCTATATTTATATAGTAAAAGTAAAGACTTATAGAATAGACTAGTAAGTTTCTTATTTTATTTTCTTATTTTTATATTATAATATAAATATACTAATATTATTTCTAGTTTCTAGAGGCTCTTATTTCTCTAAAATAATAAAGGAATTAGTAAAGCTATTAAGAACTTAATAAAAACATATATATAATTAGAAGGTAAAAGATATTCAGGTTATAGAGTAATCTAGTAGGCTTAAGACTCCTATAATTATATTATCTCTTAAATAAAAGAAACTATAATTCAATATTATTAGGAGGCTAATTAATATTTCTAGGAATATATAATTAAGGGAAGAATAAAGGCTTAAAAATAAAGATAATAGAACTAATAAGCTACTTTTAAATATCTTTATTAGAAATACTTATAGAAATAATAAAGCTCTAGATATATAAATAACTTACTAAGAAGTTCTTAATAATATAAATATTAAGCTAACTTAAACTAAAGAGCTATATTTTATATATAATTACTAACTTATATTTATTCTAGTAATATACCTAATAGCTTCTAAAGCTAGAATAATATTAATTTAAAAGAATTAATATATTACTTTTAATAGATTCTAGTAATTATTACTTTAATAATAGAAAGATACTAGCTTGGCAAATTAGAAAGCTATTTAATTACTATTAATAGTAATATAGTATTCTATAGAAAACTAGGGATAGTAAAAGAGCTAGTATCTTTTATTTAAATAATAAGGATATTTTTTTAGCTTATTATACTTAATTAATTAATTAAGAGCTTAAAATAATATTATTAAATAATTTCCTAAATACTATTAATTAGAAGATTTTACTCTAATTATTATTAATAATAGAAAAGCCTATTACTTATAGTATAGCTTACTTATAGCTCTCTAGACTTGGCTTTTATTACTATAAGACTAAGAAAGGGCTTTATATAAATAAATATAAATAATCTAATATAATTTAGTATTATTAAAAGATATTTTTATTATTAATAAAAGAGCTTTTATTATATATAGTTTAATATAAGGAGAATAAAGCTAGTATATAGTATATAATTTAATTTTTATTTCTAATTAAAGTTTAGATATATATAATATAGTTTTATAATAAGAGTTATTTCTATAGATATAATTATAAAAAGAATTTCTGGCTAGTAAATAGTTAGTAAAAAATGCCTGGAAAGAATAAAAAGAAGCTAATTTATAATTCTGAATTTATAGATTCTAAAAGATATATTAGAATACTAAATAATAAAAGCATTTTTATCTCGAATAACCCTAATTTAAATACTTGCAAAATTATATATTTAAGCTTAAATAGGAACCCCTAATAAAATATAAAACAGCTACTAGTATAGATTACTAGAATACTTAATATATTTAAATAAAAGTATTTAAATTATATAGTTATTCTAATATTTAATTAGTTCTCTATATATATTTTATATAGTAAAGGTATACTAAATACCTTTAGTATAAATAAGGTACTAGAAGAAGTTAAAAAGAATAATATTAAGATCTATAAAAGAAATATATACTTTTTACTAGAATATATAATTCCGGAATTATAAGATATTATTTAAGTTCTTTAGTAATTTAATTTAAATAGAAAAAGAAAGCTTAAGAATATAGAATAAATTCTTATTAAATAAAGTTATAATATATCTGGCTTAAGATTTAAATATCTAAAGAATATTAAATATATTATATTTCTTAAATACTTTTTTACTATTAAATAAATATACTATTTAGCTTATATACTATTAAACTATTAAGACTTCTTTAAAAAGAAGTTCTAAGTTAAAGAGCTTATTATAGATCAGGAATATAAGGCTATATTTTTACTAAAGTTTTATTATAAAATTAATCTAATTAAGATATACTAGAAATATAGTAAAACTCGATATTATTAAGTAAAGAAGGCTAGCTTTCTAGATATTAAGATTAAGGTAATAAAGGTACTTAAAGCTTATTTAATTAAGACTATATAAAGGTTTTATAACTATATATTTTATTAAATAAATATATATTAAAAGAAATTAGGTATTAAATAAGCTACTTAATATATATAGAAGTAAAAATACTATAGAATAATATCTAAAAAGGTAATAGATAAATAAAATAATATATAAAAGTAAAAGAAAGAAAATAGCTAAATAATAAGTAAAGTTTATAGATTTAGTTTAGTTAAAAGTTAGCTTAAAACTTATATAATTAAAGCCTTACTATATATATAATATATATAATATTAGAAAAAGCTATATTTAATATTTAGAAAGGTTTATTTAAGCTTATAGAACTTAATTATTATTATTATATTAATAATAAGGCTAGTAAAATACCGTAATTTCTTTCCAAAGTTTGGAATTATATAATTTTAATAAGTAAATATATTAGTATTTTATATAAGAAAAAATTAAAAAAATAAAAAGAATCTATATATTTTAAGCCTCAATTATTAATAAACTATAAATTATATTAAAAATCTATTTAATAGGTATTTTTCGCCTGGTTTTATTCTATAATTATATTACTTAATATAAATTAATTAAGGTTATAGTTAAAAGATTATTATAGATATAAAAAAGTAATTATTTTATTACCTTTAGATTAAACTAATTATATTAGTAGGCTATATAGGAAATATTAAAGTTAGGGTTGAGTTTCTAGAGAAAATAATAGATATTAGAAGATTTCCTCTAGTAATAGTTATTACTATTACTATATCTAACTAGAATATTCTATATAATTAAAATATTTTATAATATACTTTATAAAGCTAAATTAGTTTAGCTAGTATAAATAAAAGACTTAGTAAGTTTAGGGATTTAGTATATATAATTTAGGGAATTTAGAGCTATATATATAAGCTATTT